TTGAACTGTTAGAAAGGTTGATTATATGTGTACTCCAAGGTTAGTGTTAATTTTCTTTTTTATATGATTTTGTATTAAATATCATAAGCATTGCTCCTTGTTAAACCACACACACACTACCTCAATAATGATGGTGCACATCAGGAATTTCAACCTACCCAAAACAAAATTCAAGCTGCCCATACTGTATTTTCAAATACTTAGGGACCCAGCTCTGCATTACTTTTCACCTGTATAAGGATTTCAGGATAATGTTCTTTACCTGTAACTATCTTTTTGGCATTCAAAATGAGCTGTGAAAACAAACTACATCAGAACCAAACATAATATAATGTGAAGGGATACTTAAGCAATGCTAGATGACAGGATCTCAGCATTTGTGCTAATTAGGTGCCTTAGGAAGTGCTGGCTGAACATTAGCACCATTCAGGTACCTGAAATGTGTGTATTCTTAAATAACTTCTATCATGTATGGTTTAAAGATTTAAACAACTAGTAATTAAATTCATCTTATTACATGTAAATTAAGATGAGCAAGAACAGATTACAAATTTTAACCTTCTAAAAGGCTTATTGCTTTATATATTTTCATTACACTTCTAGTTTAAGAATATTTAAAAGTGGCTTCCATAAAAAATATGACTATATTAAAAAGAGGCTCCTGTGATAGACAGGTATCTCAGTATGCTTGCACAAGTCAAGGTAACTAGTGATGTTACTGTTCACATATGTCCAATTCTATGCCAGTAAAAAGGTTTACTTATGTAAAATATTTTATTTAAAAATTACATTAATACTGAAATAGTACACATTTTAAGAGTTGCATGTGAGGTAGGGCAATGTGGCAATGAAGGTCTGAAATAATGATTTATTTTTAAAATTCTTATCTTTAGTCATTTCAGTTTTAGATACAAGAGGCATCTTGGTATATCAGTCATAATTAATTGATGATAAAACCAAGCTGCCTACGGTGCAAACTACCTGTTTTACTGAGGCAGTTGCATACTTTAGGCTCCCACAGGCTTCTCTGGTCAGTGATATTCAAACATTCAAGTTTTTTTTCAGTTAGAAAAGTGACTGTGTAATTATGGCACCTTCATGCTCGATCTATTTTTTTTTACTTTGCTGACAAAAATGTATTTGAACTACTGCTAGGTGTACTGAAGTTCAAGATAAAATTTTACTTGACAGCTGGGCAGAAAAGTCAGATTGCAGAATATTAGTGGGAGAGATGTAACATTTAATGAGAACACTCATACAGAGTTCGCAATAATCACAATTAAAATATCTTTTGACTTAAAACTTAAGAAATCTGATACTGAAAATCACTGAAATGAAAAAAAAAGAAACTTATAGAAAGTTATTTTTAGAATTAATTTTCACACTATGACCACATTTTAAGTAAAATTCAAATTCATGTTCAATTAATGTTTAATTCAAACATTATATTTTTAAAATCTTTTTTTGTTTCAGATAAGCACTGGAAGTAAAAATTGGTGAGACATTTTTATAGCTTCTTTGAGAGTTTCCCTTTAGGTTTGTTTAAATAAAAATAGAGAAGGATGAGAACATGACTGAAAAATAGGAGGTCTAGCTCTAGAGATTTATTTATTTCATTCTTAAAGACCATTATTTTATAACATATAATATTCAAATGTAAAAAGATCACTCAAATATTAAACATTTTAGACAATGCTATTCGGCATTTTAATCCTAATTTTTAAAGATAGTTGCAAAGATCTTATCAGCGTATTCAAAAGAATGTTCAGTAGGAAAAATACCATTTCTGTAACTTTGCAATCTTATTGCTATGAAAAAGTTAATCAAATACATGCAATACCGGGGCAAGAAAAGTATTGCAATCTGTGCTGGATAAATGGGGCAACTAATTTCTATTTCAGCAAATAGCAGTGAAACAATTTTTTCAGAATTTAAATAGTTAACATTTAGTTAGAATAGATGATATTCAAACAGAGTCAGTATCTGAACTACTTTTATTTGTGAGGTGGTATTTTTAGTTTCTTTTGTTTGCAGATAAAAGGAAATTAATTTCTCAGTTATCACCTCTACATCTTTACAGTTCTCTTCTAACCAGGCAGTGCTTCATACCTCCACATTAAGAAAATTAATGTAGATTTTAATGTGAACACACACATTTTTCTATTGAACTAAAGTAGAGCACTAAGGCTATGTCTAGACTACAAAGATAAATTGGAAAAAGAAATGCAAATTACAGTACGCAAATTGCGTATCTTTTTCCGATTTACTTCTGAAAAAGGCTTTTCTGAAATTTGGCCCATCTACACGGGGCTAAATTTTGGAAAAAAACCCTCTTTTGGAACATCCCTTCTTCCTTGTAAAACGAGGTTTACAGGGATGCCAACAAAACGCATCCACTTTTCAGATCTTTTTTTTGGAAAAGCAGAGGCATTCCTTGGACACGGCTGAGTTTTTCTGGGATACCTCTGGTATCTTGGAAAAGTTCTGCAGTCTAGACGAATCTGAAGACACCAACGATATGCTAAAGCAGCGCTAGAAAAAATGAGAGAATGACAGAACAAAATGCTGTAGAGAATATACAAGAAATGTGCCAGGAATAACTGGTCAGCCTTGTGCTAGATGTTATACCCCAAGAATAAAAATCTTTGACATGCCATTTTTAAAACCACACAATTGTAACTAAGTAGCCCTCACAAGATCAGAATGATTGGAGTCTTAATTCTCCAGTGAAATGAGTGGCAAGCCTAGAGCTATGAAACCCAACAGTCAGAGTCATGTAAGAGGTTATCTTCAGAGAAGAAAAATCATTCATAAAAAATTTTCTTTTTTTCTGCAACCAATACTGGGTATCAGAGTTGGTTTCACTTCTCCTCTGTACACATGACCATGGGAATAAGAGAAAAAGACAGGAAGCTACAGACAAGATTGGAAGGAACATAAAATATATCAAGCTTTATTTTTAGTAGATCTCCATTTTTCCTAGGGAATAGAAGTGATAGAAGTGGGATAGAAGTGATTTGCAGTTGTGTCTCATGGCAAACAAGTCTATTATTGGAGTTCTCCACATCCTTCAAATCTGGTGAAATATTTTTTGATTGAGGTTACATTCCCTTTGGAATGGCTGAGGCAATTACAATTGAATTTCCTGGATATGATGATTATTCGGACAGTTCTGAAATTCTTTTTCGTCCATTTTAGTGTAAGTAATGCATACCTAACGAGGGCAACATTTTTTGTTCCTTGTTATTTTCTGAATAAACCAGAACCAGATTCAGTGCAATATGAGGATTTTCATTTCCAGTCTGTTGATATTAATGTGTTCCTCAATACTCTGTACAGAGCTAAGCTGCATATAGACTGTTATGACATAGAAGATTTACATTTGGTTATTACAATGGTCCAGTGTAAATTGTTAATGAAACTCTGTGCAGAAGTAAGCAGATTGGGCCACCAGATCAAAGGCTCCTGACTGCCATTTTCTCAAATAAAGAGTTTCTTCTATAGAGAATGACATTTTCACTATGTAACGTGAGTAGATATTAATATGAGGATCAGCTGTGCAGCCAGAATTAAGGCATCGAATTAAAACAAGAAATTGTTAAACCAAAAAACTAAGCAATGATGAATGGGGCTAATGAGGATGTCTTTGTAGCTAGTGAAAAAATTCTCTAAAATGTTTTCCTGAGGCCTTCTTAAGACTAATGTAAGTTCACATATTAACTAGATTGTAAGATAGTTCTAGAGCAGTCTTACGGATTTATGATAATCTTCAATGATAAAAGAAAATGAACCTGTTTGTAAAAACATTATCCTAATAACAGAAGCGGAAGAAGAAAATACTTTTGGACACAAGAGATGTACTTTGAGGATGATATGGTTGACTGGAGAGAAGGAATGAAACTCTTCCCAGAAAAACACTAGCTAATATAAACCACATGCTTACATAGGGCAAAACGATTATTAGTTTTCCAAAGCATAGTGAGGTTCACCTGAGCTGTAACAAGCACTGGGGACCTAGAAGGAGACTCAATGTGATGGAGAGGTGTCTGTTTCCCAGACAACCGAACTGAGATCAGCAGTATGGAAACACAGGAGAGACAGAAACAGTGCTGCAAGACTCAGCAGCAAAAGAAGCACACTGATTTGCTCTCTCCCAGACCTTTGGCAAAGGTATTCCTTTCATCCTTCTTTCTGCTATGGCAGCAAAATGTTCTTGTTTGTGCTTTCAGTTTCTTTAGTATAATTCTTTGCCATTCTTCTCTAACTTTTGAATAACCTTTTATTTCTTCAAGTTTCCTGAAATAATATTCCTTCTTCCTTTTCAACCTTATATGCCTGGCACGGGAAGAGTGAAAGTAGTTGGGGGAGTGCACTTTGTGGAGATTTAAGTTTGATTTATTTCTTGCCTGTTTTTAGGTTTGTCTAGTGCGTTTTCTTTTCCTTGATTTAATAGATGAAGAAAGACAGAGGTTTTTTGGAGTGGTATTACATATCTAAGTCAATTTGTTTTCTTTAATGTCAACAAACTTTGCAAAGATTTTGTTGTTTTCTTATAGATCCTTAATATGAAAGGCTTTTGACTGAGTTTAACAATTGTCTTTAGGCAAAATTTATACATGAAGCTGTGAATGAACCAAGTTCTAACTGGTTTTGTCTCCATTGTAAACACTGCCAAAGCAGCAAAACAAGATTTTAAAACCAGGTTCTGTTAGTATTTGGTTTAATCCACGATTGTCCAAAATGTGGCAGAGCTTGGTTCAGCCACAAATGAACAAACTCTGTTGAAAACCTTTCATAAATAATTCTATCTTTAGGCCCCGAACTTTAAAAAAGATGGATTCTTGTATCTGGAGAGTCCCATGCATATGGATGCATGTGTCTGCATCTTATTGAAAGATGAGAGTCTTCGTTTATTGATAGTTTGTATAATGCCCCTACAAACATTCAACAGCAAAAAATTATTTTTTTAAGAATCACAATCTACAGGTATTTTACAGTACCTCTTGCCATGCACAACTGCTCCTGGATCCTGAGATTTTGCTTCCAACTCTTGAACTTCATCTACCAGAGTCTTAAAAGTAGCTCTCTTGATTCTGGAATATAAAATGTTTTTCAGATTTACTCTTGCTGAAAACATGTTTTTTAAAGACTCTAACATAGACATTAACAAATTCATTTTTGCCAAGTGATTTCAACTTAAATTTTGAAAGCAGAAATATTAAGGAGGCATCAGTTATAAATCATGCCATTTTGTCAGCTGTTATGTGAAACACAAATAGCAAAAGTTATCAATTAAAAGTTCTGATTAATAAAAATATTAAAAAATAAAGTAGTGGTACATTTGTATCAAGATATGTAAACTACAAACAAAGCAATTCAGAATTTGAAAGAATCAACTAAGCTCTTCACATTTTCTTAAACAAACTGGCCAATACTCAGAAAAATTAAAATTTGGTAATAATTTTCCCTCTAATTTTTAACAGTTCTATACTTACACTTTGTATACTACGTCAAAAAGCAAAGCTGTGATGGGAATACATAAAAGACCCATCCAAAAGACTCCAGAGCTGAACAACATAACTGCCTGGATAGATAAATCACAAAAAATGATACCATTATAAAGGAACAACAAAACATTTGCTTGGCTCAAAACAGGAAAATCAAATTTAACCAAAACTTAGCTGGACTCTTTAATGCAATATAAAAATTATTTATTCCCATTCTTCAAACCTTACTCACAGGAGCTGCCATTACTCATTCTGGGTGAAAGGTCCTCATACACTTCATAAGTAAATAAATGCTACTCATGTTAAAGTCTTATTGGGAAATTCAAACTATTAAGTTCTTTAAAAACAAAAACAAAATCCTCCCCCAATATCCAGCTTTACAACATCACATTTCTAATACTGCTAAAGAATACTATTAACATAAGCTATAGCAATTTAAAATACTGCTAAATCTCTGAGAACATCTAAGAGCATTTCTATTTGCTATCAACCTTTCGCATAGGATTATGATTACCAAAAGATATTTGTCCTTAAAATTATCTTGTTATACATCTCCATCAAGAATGCTGAGAATCTCTCAGTAGCACCAACTATCAGACTACTGCTTAAATAATATTTTGTTTATAATTCAGAACTGCAAAAATAATAAGAAAATATATATGCTTTGTCTCCTTTTCTGCAGTTCTTTAAAATACCAGCTAAACAAAAGCCATTTTAAAATAACACACATTACTGAAAAATTAAAATATTTTCCAACAACACACTTTTTGGGTCTTAGCTAGGTGTAAATTTAGTTTTTATTTTTACTGTCAGACTAGAAACCAGACTTTCTCCCATCCATGTCAATTAACTTGTTTGTGTACACCTGTTACAACCAAAGAGAAACAAGCAATACTCTCTATACAAAATTAGTGTAAAGGGCATTAAATAATATAGATTTGCCTTTAACACTTTCTAAGCATCTACATCAGAGGCATTATGATTGCAAAGAAAATGATCTATGATTAATAAATTATTATCAGTTGTTTGTAATATAATTATATGTTATAGTGATTGAGTAACATTGCCACACAATGGTATTTGAATTATTTGATTTCATTTATTTAAGTCTAATTACTTTTAAAGCTTAAATTTGCAGTACATAATTGAAATACTATACTGTGAAATTTTACTAATCCTATCAATTATGAGAGAAATGCAGATATTTTGAATAAGTGGCTTAAAATCCTACTTTTTTGAGTCTGAAGGGTAGCCATGTTTGTAACTTTAAAAACAATGAGTAGTCCTGTGGCATCTTAGAGACTAACAAAAATACATATAGTATCATAAGATTTTTTGAGAAAAACCCACTTTTTGAGTGCATATAAATTGAAGTTTATTTAGGTTTGTACATGGTATATTACTGATAGTACAGAAAAAGCAAGTAATTATAAATCTTAAAATTTTATCTAAGCTGAATACTCAGCAAATGTACCTTTTTATCCACATCCATGTTTTATACCTATATAGTAGCTGTTACAGTGATGGTGGTTGCTCTAAGCACTTTATTTATTAGCCACAATAATTACTATAAACAATTTTATAAACTCTGAACAATAATGCTTGGATTAAAATTACTTTACAATTCACAATTCAACTGAAAAGACCGTTTTAGATCTCTATAACAAAACAAAAAAAAGTATTCACATAAAAGTCACTTGATATTATAAGCAAAACATGACTCTTGACACGCTTGGTGACACACTCAATTCTTAAAACCAATATAATAGGAAATGCCTATCAAAACTAAATTTTGTAAAAGCTTTTAAAATGTAAGTAACAATCATATAGACCAACAGTTTCCTAACAAAAAAACGGCAGGGGAAAAACACAATTTGATTTGATCTGAATATGACCCTCACTTCATATTATTAATGTTAATAATATTTTTAGCTTAGGATAATATCAAGCACTATTCTTGCTTTAGCTATCCTATTAAATGTTTCCTAGTGAAACAGCAAAAGTGATAATGTAGGTCTTAGGATGTTAATTCTGACCATTGTAATGCTAACTATGAATGAAGCAACAACTGGCGCTTACTATTCAGTCCATCCAGCCTTTGGCTTTACAAATGAACAACACGAATTGAGAAAAAAAAGTTTTTCTGCGTCATATTTGAAAGCCTGTCAGATTTTTTTTTCTTTTGCAGAGTTAATCCAAACCTAAAAGATTTAAAGCCGACATTCGCATTAAAGACAGAGAGCCTCTTTGTATTTTTTGGATGAAGAGGGAAAAAATAAAATCCCACAGAGGTATTTCCTTCCTTTCTGTACAAGAAAGCTCCCCACTCACTCTGTAGAAACCATTTTTGTCTCTAACTTTTCACATCTCTCTACACATAGGCAGGTCATCTGGGAAATGGCAAACCAATCCTTTTCAGACAATGGCACTAACAGGAGCAGCCTGTTCTGGGGATGGACTCTGGCTGCCTCTGTTTGTGTTTTACAAATTGTTCCTAATGTGTGAGATTTGTGGTCAATGCCAAGTTTTTCCCCCCCTTTAGGCCTTGTGAAACCAAATGGAATCTTCCATAAAAGTGGCTCCCAAGGGAATTCAGAAATAATCTGAAGTAAGAATTAGAAAATCTAGTAAATTATTGGCCTAACAGGTCACTGGGGAAAAATTGTTGTCTATGTAGGATGGATATGTTGCAAATGTTGACTCTTAAGACTTTTAAAAATATAAATTAACATATAAATGTAGCTTTTACAGATTTTTTTCCTGCTACTGTTTGAGTTTTGTGTAGTGAAAAAGAATTCCAGAAGATTGTTACCATATAACTTTTTAATTCAGTAGAATATTAAAAACCTTGCTGACAGAACACTAAACAATATGTGCTATCAGAAAATTACATATTAAGTGGAAATGATTAAATAAGAATACTTCCTTTCTCTTTACTACATTTATGAAACATTACATGTATGTTCAGACAAATAATTTTCAAAGATGGTGATACTGCTTCAGAAAAGCAAGGCAACAAAGTTGGAGACAGCAATAAAACCATTCTGAAGAAAGTTTTATAGAGCCTTTTCAATTTATTTAATCTAGTTATCATCACTGTTGTACTGGTATATGAATGTCTCTCAAGTATTAAAGGATAGAATTGAGAACAGTTTCTTTCTCTTTCTTCTTGCTCATCTACAGAGAAATAACTTGATTAATTTATAGTTGGCTTTTGTGTGTGTGCGTGTACACACACTTGTTAAATAACTAACTAGGGCAAAGCTAAGCTGGACAGAAGAGTTTTGCATTTAGTTGTCCATGCAGTGAGGTTAGAGGTCATTTTTGTCCTTTCAGGTACAGTAAAACTCCAATAGTCCAGCATCCAACAGTCTAGCACTCCTGATAGTCCGGCATCAAAATGGCAAGAGCCTAGTGAGTGAGCTTCGGCAAAAAATGAGTCACAAGGTAACAGCGGCAGCAGCTGAACTGAGCAAAAAGGGTAAAAAAGGCTTAAAAAAACTAAAACATTACAGTATACTGTATACAGTATGTACAATAAAAAGGGTTAAGAACACTTTATATACAGTATATACTGTATACACTATATATATAACCAGCTTATAGTACTTCCTGATAGTCCGGCATATCTGATAATCCAGCACCACCTAGGTCCCATAGGTTCCGGATTATCGGAAATCTACTGTAGTTAGTTCCATTATTTTGTTATAGCCCTTTCTTTATATTTACAGCTTAAAAAGATGAACATACACATAAACATACTGATTCAAAAAGGTACCTGGTGTGGAGTAAGACTTGGTATTGTTCATCATGTAAGACAGCTGTACCTCTCAATGATGGGAACTCAAAATAATCTGTCTTGGGGAGGGACACATCAAACATGCAGTTTCTGTTGGTTTTCTAACCAAAATTGAAAATTCAGAATTGCTAAATTAGAATTGTATTGCCTGAACAGATCTCTGGGAAAGTTTACACTGAAAACTTTTAACAATACAAAACAGAAACAATAACAAAACAACAACGAACAAAAACGCCTCAAGTCTGCATCCAAGAATCTCAGAGCAGACCACAGGTCAGCAGACTCAGGCACATGAGGCTTGTGCTTCAGAGCTAAAAAGAGCAGGCCCTGAGACTTGGTAGAGGGGAGTCTCAGAGAGCCTTGGCACATCTACACTGCTATTTTTAGCCTTGAAAAAGGAGCCCTGTGATACCAAATCAGTTAACCTGAGCTCTGAGACTTGCTACACTTTTTTACAGTACAGATGTATGCTATGAGATCTGCCTCAAACCCAGGGAGCCAGCATATACTGGAGTTGGAGCAGTACTCAGCAAAAAGTGCCCTCAGCATCCAGGGCTCTCAGGGTAAATCTACACTACAACTGCAGCTGTAATTTCCAGCTTGGTTAGACATACTCACACTAACCTTCATCAAGCTAACAAGCTAAGAATATGCAGTGTTAAGTGGCAGTGCGGGTGCCAGCATGAGCAGCCTGAGTACATGTGTGTCCAAGACACTAGGCATGTATTTGAATGGCTAGCTGATGCTATCGCCCAGGCTGCTGCAGCTATATTGCAATTTTTAGCAGATAGATATTATATCTTCAGCTGCATTGTATATCCTAGGGGCATTCTCCTGCAATCTTTGCTCTTTTTGCCTTCTCCCAAATTGAAAGGGGTAGATCCCTGCACTACTTCTGTAAAGATGCATGAAACATGTTAAACATACTTCTAAAAGACAGCGATTATTCTCCTTTTTCTACTGCTCTTAAAAAGAGCAGTTTAAGGCTAAGTCAAGGTTGTTTTAGTAGCTGCAAGGACTCAAGGGTCATATCCAGGGCTATCCTTAGCATTTATGGGGTTCTACACAAGATTATAAAATGGTGTCCTCCTGACTGCAGTGTGTCAGACCCTGGATAAAGCCCGCTTGGGGGCAGATTGCTCCATACCAGCCCACCGGCTCGGCCCAACACAGGCAAAGCCCCTCCACTGCTGACCAGAGCTGGTCCCTCACAGCCAGTGCAGAGAGAGAGCAAGCCACACTCCCCCTCTCTGTATGGCTCCTCTGCCCAACGACACC